ACTGAGTCTTGGGCTCTGGTACAGCCAGGGTTCTGCTGAAAGTGTATCATTTCCCATTACTACTGCAACACTCATGTCTTCATTCCCCTGGTATATGAGCATAGCTACACCCCCCACCTGTCCTCCCAAGCCCCTCAAAGTCCTTCCATCTCTGAGATGCTGTGATTCAATTAATTACCACCAACGTCTGCACCGCTTTTTGTCATTTTCATTTATCCCATCTGCTGACTCACTGTGTCCTGCTCTGGATTAAAGTGGTTATTCACAACAGTTATTCAGCCATCTGTTGCCATGGACACCGCACAGCCTGCTTCCTTCATCACCCATCAATTCTCAGCAATGCTGGCTGTGAGCATGGGTACCACTGCCAGTACCAAAACCCAAGGGGCATCAAAGTCTCCCAGAAAAGGAGGGGGGCCTGATGACGCATGAACAGGAGCAAAATCTCTGCTCTCAATGGTGGAAAAATCAAAAACAGCTCATTACATCTGGCCAAACCATGTGGAGGCAGCAGGTTATCAAATAAGTCAACAAGGCACCATTTTATTTTCTGGTACATCTTTGGCAAATGCTTTAGTCTGTTTGGTAACCATTGGAAGGTATATTTCCATACTGAAAAATTGTTATGTAGATTACTAGCTCCCCTTGAAAGCAAAACGAAGGCGCCTTGAAAGGCAGGGTCCTCTGGGAGTTGGCTCTGCGTAGGGGGTTTGCGAGTGGTGGGGGCATGGGCAGCCAACTAGGAGACGGTGGGGCAGCTGCCAGCCAAACCCAGCCCAGCACAGGCCTGAAGGAAAAGGCGGCACTGAGGGTGTTCCATGCTAGGGGGAAGGTGAAGGGGCTTCAGAGGTGACCAGGATGTGAGCCACTGGAAGGACAAAACAGGCCATCAGCCCACAACCCATTGCTCCTGGTAACACGTTGTATTTGCAGAGTCCAGTGGAGGGGACGGGGAATCAATACATCACCCCACATTCATACACTCCCTGCTCATCAAACATCAGCGGATGGTGAAATCCACTTTCCCTGATTCTAAGGTCATTGGGTTCACTCCCTCACCTACCACCACCCACAAGGGTCCCTATGTAGTCCGAGAGATGAGTGCCAGACCCCTGACCCCCAGGATATGGTGGGGAGCATTGCTCCTGACCTAGGGAACTTGGTTCCTGCCCTCACCCTGCTCCAGCACCTCACCGTGAAGGTCAACTCCTCTATCCTTCCCCTACATCCAGGAGACTGACCGACACTAAATGACAGGGCGGTGCCGGGTGATGGGCTATACCTGTGCCCCACCCCATTCCTCTCGCCTGGACTCATATGACAGGGTAGGGGCGGAGGGGCACAGTTGGGAGGGACCATGAGGGTTTTATAAGGCAGGTCTAGAGCACCAAGCAGAGCAGAGACCTGCGAGACACCAGGCCTGCTACACCACACACCTCTCAGCTCTACAGGTAAGAAAACCCAGGTTGAGAGGGGAGAGGCTGGGAAGTGTGTTGACAGGCCCTCTCTCTCATCAAGGTATTGGGCTACTGGCCAGAGTCTGAGGCTCACCCCTTGGGGTCTCCAGAGCTGGGACTCTTTCTTTAGCCCAGGATGGAACTAGGTCGTGGCTCTAAGACCCACCCCAGTATTCCCAGCCTTGCCTTCCACCTGCCCTTCTGCCCCAGCCGGGGCCCTGCCCTTCATCTCTCGCTTCACACTCATCCCAGCCCTGGGAGGTGAGGAGGACTGGGGTTCTTCTCCTCTCTCAGATGAGAAAACTGAGGTCCAGAGACAAGATGTGACTTGCCCAAAGTCTTTAGTTGTATTAGGCAGGGCTAGGATGGGAATCCACGGCTTCCAGATCCCATTTCAAGCCCTTTCCTAGACCTGTGCCATCCAAAAGAATGTCCCATGATTCGGGAAATGTTCTTTATCTGCACTGTTCAATATGGTAGCCACTAGCCACGTGTGCTCTTGAAATGGGGTTAGTGTAAGGGAGTAATTTTTTTTTTTTAGATGGAGTCTCGCCATATTGCCCAGGCTGGAGTGCAATGGCGCAATCTCTGCTCATGGCAACCTCTACCTCCCAGGTTCAAGCAATTCTCCTGCCTCAGCCTCCCAAGTAGCTGGGATTACAGATGCCTGCCACCACCCTGCTAATTTTTTATATTTTTCGTAAAGATAGGGTTTCACCATGTTGGCCAGGCTGGTCACAAACTCCTGACCTCAAGTGATCTGCCTGCCTCAGCCTCCCAAAGTGTTGGGATTGCAGGCATGAGCCACCGCACCTGGCTGTCAATTTTTAATTTAATCTATGTAAATGTAAAGAGCCACATGTGGCCATGACACCGAATAACACATGTGGTTAGCATTTGACAGCACAGCTCCAGATCACTGATTTTTCAAATCTTCAGCAGCAGAATTCTTTGCTTCCAAATAAAACCTAACAGAACCTCATTATGAAAAACCTGATGGCTAGGCATGGTGGCTCATGCCTGTAATCACAACACTTTAAAAGGCTGAGGCAGGCAGCTTGCTTGAGCTCGGGGGTTCCAGACCAGCGTGGGCAACATAGTGAGAACTTGTCTCTACTAAAAATAAAAACAAAAAAATTAGCTGGGTGTGGTAGAGCATACCTGTAGTCCCAGCTACCTCAGGAGGCTGAGGTCAGAGGATCTCTGAAGTCCAAGAGTTTGAGGCTGCAGTGAGCCAAGATCATGCCAGTCACTGCATTTCAGCCTGGGAGACAGAGCAAGACTCTGTCTCACAAAAAGAAAAGAAAAAAGAAGCTGGGCATGGTGGCTCATGCCTGTAATCCCAGCACTTTGGGAGGCCGAGATGGGCGGATTACGAGGTCAGGAGTTCAAGACCAGCCTGACCAACGTCGGGAAACCCTGTCTCTACTAAAAATGTAACAATTAGCTGGTGGGCGGGCATGGTGGCAGGCACCTGTAATCCCAGCTACTCAAGAGGCTGAGGCAGGAGAATCACTTGAATCCAGGAGGCGGAGGTTGCAGTGAGCCGAGATCATGCCATTGCACTCCAGCCTGGGTGACAGAGCAAGACTCCGTCTCAAAAAAAAAAAAAAGAAAAACTTAAAAGCAGTATAGTATTTAATCAATACAAATGTATTCTGACAAGAGAAAATTTTTATCATTTTCTTATCAAAGAATGATAAAAATGATAAATCAAAAAATGATTTATCAAGCCAATCAGAACAGTGACACTAAAATAATGCAAAAATAGTGAACCCAGGGAACAGGTGACCATTTAAATTTTATGTTTGTTTGAGATTCCAGTTTTCTTCTATATTATGTTTTCCCCAAACTTGATTCATCCTGATACATAATTGCTAATGGTGACAGTTTCATTTTTTATTTATTTATTTTTTTTTTGAGACGGAGTTTCACTCGTTACCCAGGCTGGAGTGCAGTGGCGCGATCTTGGCTCACCGCAACCTCCACCTCCTGGGTTCAGGCAATTCTCCTGCCTCAGCCTCCTGAGTAGCTGGGATTACAGGCACGCGCCACCATGCCCAGCTAATTTTTTGTATTTTTAGTAGAGACAGGGTTTCACCATGTTGACCAGGATGGTCTCTATCTCTTTACTTCATGATCCACCCGCCTCAGCCTCCCAAAGTGCTGGGATTACAGGCTTGAGCCACCGCACCCGGCTCTAGTTTCATTTTTTTCTTAATTCTTCATTATAATCACAGGATATTCCCCAGGAGAACCTTTCCTCTGAGGGCTGCACAGAAAACAGTGTGATCTGGCCAGGCACGGTGGCTCACGCCTATAATCTGAGCACTTTGGGATGCTGAGGTGGGCAGATCACCTGAGCTCAGGAGTTCAAGACCAGCCTGACCAACATAGATAAACCCCATCTCTACTAAATAACACAAAAAAATTAGCTGGGCATGGTGGTACATGACTGTGATCCCAGTTACTCAGGAGGCTGAGGCAGGAGTATCACTTGAACCCGGGAGGCAGAGGTTTTGGTGAGCGGAGATTGTGCCACTGCACTCCAGCCTGGGCAACAAAAGTGAATGCTGTCTCAAAAAAACCACCAGTGTGACCCGGCCAAGTTCTGAATGTGCCTCAGTCTCCAAAGTGAAAGTATGTGGTCTGTAACACAGATGGATGTCTATGTCCCTTTGGTATTACTATTTAAAAGTTTAACTTTTTGTTTTGGTTTTTTGAGACAGGGTCTCACTCTGTTGCCCAGGCTGGAGTACAATGGGGCAATCTTGGCTCACTGCAACCTCGCCTCCCCGGCTCAAGCGATCCTTCCACCTCAGCCTCTTAAGCTGGGAATACAGGTACATGCCACCACGCCCGGATAATTTTTGTATTTTTTGTAGAGATGGGCTTTTGCTATGTTGCCCAGGCTGGTCTCAAACTCGTGGGCACAATTGATCCACCCTCCTCAGCTTCCCAAAGTGCTGGGATTACCATGCCTGGCCTAAAAAGTTCACTTTAAATAACAAGTCTTGGGCAGAGCACAGTGGCTCACATCTGTAATCCCAGCACTTTGGGAGGCTGAGGGGAGGATCGCTTGAGCCCAAGAGTTCAAGACCAGCTTGGGAAACATGGTGAAACCCCGTTTCTACAAAAAATACAATAAAATTAGCTGGATGTGGTGGCAGAAGCCTGTAGTCCCAGCTATTCTGGAGACTGAGGAGGGCGGATCACTTGAGGTCAGGACTTCAATACCAGCCTGGCCAATGTGGTGAAACCCCATCTCTACTAAAAATAAAAAAATTAGCCAGGCGTGGTGGTGTGCACCTATAGTCCCAGCTACTTGGGAGGCTGAGGCAGGAGGATCACTTGAACCCAGGAGGCAGAAGTTGCAGTGAGCGAGATCCCACCACTGCACTCCAGCCTGGGCAGTAAGAGTGAAACTGTCTCAAAAAAATTGCAGACTCATCAGCAGATAGAGGCCTGGAGCCACACGGTTCAGTCCCCTGCCTCTGGGCCTGTGTGGGGACAGCCCCACCCTTAAGCTGGGCCGTTCTCCCCTTTGCAGACAAGATGCAGCGACTGTGTGTGTATGCGCTGATCTTTGCACTGGCTCTGGCCACCTTCTCAGAAGCTTCTTGGAAGCCCCACACCCAGCGGCCACATGCACCCTTAGGTACTGGGGCCAACAGGGACCTGGAGCAACACTGGCTGGAAGATCAGGGCCCAGCCTCTCACCACCGAAGGCAACTGGGACGCCAGGGTCCCCCACACCTGGTGGCAGGTAGGAGCTGCTCACCGCCCTGCTTGCCTCACCCGGCCAGGTTTAGCCAAGGTCTGCCCAGACTGGCCCTGACCTTGGTTCCTGGAGGGTAGGCACCTTTCCCTGTTCTCACCTCTCTCACCTCCTCAGACCTGTCCAAGAAGAAGGGCCCATGGGTGGAGGAAGAAGAAGAAGCCTATGGATGGATGGACTTCGGCCGGCGCAGTGCCAATGACGAGAACCAACAACCCTAGAACCAAGCTGCAGAGCCCAGCCATCTCCTACCCCACCCCAGCCCTGTCACTGAAAAACAAATCAAAAATAAACTAGTTGCCTGTAATCCCAGCACTCTGGGAGGCCGAGGTGGGCGGAACACCTGAGGTCAGGCGTTCAAGACCAGCCTGACCAACATGGTGAAACCCCGTCTTTAAAAAAAAAATTAAAATTAAAATAATTAATTAATAAACTAGTTTCCAGTGGATCAGTGGACTGTGTCAGTGCTGCAGGGAAGAGGAGGGGGATTCATCTGGGGGTGAGGCTGCAGCAGGGAGGAGAGCTGAGTGCCTCTTAGGGGCAGGGACCCTTACTCTGGCTGATTCTCCTTGGGTTCCCTAGAGCCCCACACTGAACAAGAATCCACAGGTGTGGGTGGAATAATAGATGGTAGGGTTCAGAGCCACAGTAAGCTTTTTTTTTTTTTGAGACAGAGTTTCACTCTTGTTACCCAGACTGGAGTGCAATGGTGAGATCCCAGCCTCCTGCAACCTCCGCCTCCCAGGTTCAAGTGATTCTCCTGCCTCAGCCTCCCGAATAGCTGGGATTACAGTTGCCTGCCAACACACCCTGCTAAATTTTTTTTGTATTTTTTAGTGGGGATGGGGTTTCACCATGTTGGCCAGGTTGGTCTCAAACACCTGACCTCAGGTGATCTGCCTGCCCAGGCCTCCCAAAGCGCTGGGATTACAGGAGTGAGCCACTGCACCCGGCCTCAGAAGCAGCTTTTTGAAAGATCAATCAAGCTGTGTCACTCTCAGTTTTAATCTTCTAATGTTTCCCATTGCACTTAAAATACAACATGAATTCCCTACCACGGCCCTGAAAGCTCGCCCTGAGGTTCCCCTCCACTCTGTGTCACGTGGCTTCCTCCCCTTCCTCCTCGTCTCCTTTCCCTTACGCAGACATGCCTTGTCCTCTCCTGCTCAGAGCCTCCGACCTTGCTACTCCCTGTGCCTGCAACGCTCTTCCCCAGGCACGATACAGTGGGCTCCCCTTTCCTCCTCAGCTCTTGGATGAAATGCCTCTTCCTGAGAGACGACCCTTTCTGCTCTTCACCCTTCACACATAGAGCCAGTTATTCTCTACCACAGGGCCAAATAAAAAGAAAACGATCAAGCTTTTTAAAGAATGAATGCTAGTTTTATTCAAAGTCTTCCTGAGGACTATAGATTGAGGCCTCCAGCCCAGGAGCAGGCTGTGGCACAGTGTTTCAGTCCCCTGTTTATATATAGCCGGGGGCTGCCGGGGGAGGTTCCGTGTGTGCACAATCCCGTCAGACTTGCTCAGAATTACATGAGAGCAGAATCACAGCAAGGTTTGGGTGTCAGAGTACATCTGGCCACACCTAGATCACAGAGCCATCATTGCTAACTCCGTCAGATGTCATCCTGGAAATGTTACATGTCAGAAAAGGCAGGGACTAGGATCGTTTCTCATTTAAGAAATGTGAAGACTCAAGCCAGGTGTGCAGTGGCTCACATCTGTAATCCCAGCACTTTGGGAGACCAAGGAGGGTGGATCACTCAAGGTTAGGAGGTCGAGACCAGGCTGGTCAACAAGGTGAAACTGTCTCTATTAAAAATACAAAACTTAGCCAGGCCTGTGCCTGTAGTCCCAGCTGCTCAGGAGGCTGAGGCAAGAGAATTGTTTGAACCCGGGAAGCAGAAGTTGCAGTGAGCAGAGATCATGCCACTGCACTCCAGCCTGGGCGACAGAGCAAAACCCTCTCTCAAAGAAAAAAGAAAAGAAGAAATGAAATGTGGTGACTCAGGCAGGAGGCGTTGGGGGCTTTGGGCTCTCTCCTGTGCTGTCTTCAAAGCATCTTTCTGGAGAACTGCCTACAGTCGGGGTCTTTGTGAAACTGCGCTGACGAGCAGAAAGAGGCAAACACGGCTTCTTGCCGTCTGCTGCTTTGTCTCACGACAGCACAGTCCTTTCTTCAGAGCACATTTCACAATCTGTAGCTGTTTTCCTGGCCAGTGTTATCGTCTGCCTCTCTGGCAAAACAGGAAACTGAGCATGAGGACCACATGTCCCTCCTCCCTTCTTATCCCCAGTGGCAAGAATAGGAGGAACCCAATACATATTTGTAAATATGTATCGGGATCACGCCCTTTGAGAGGCCGAGGAGGGTGGATCACCTGAGGTCAGGAGTTCAAGGCCAGTCTAGCTAACACGATGAAACCTCGTCTCTACTAAAATACAAAAATTAGCCTGTAATCCCAACTACGTGGGAGGCTGAGGCAGGAGAATCGCCTGAACCCAGGAGATGGAGGTTGTGGTGAGCCGAGATCTCACCACTGCACTCCAGCCCAGGTGACAGAGTGAGACTTGTCTCAAAAAAAAAGAACCTCAGGGGGAAGTGATGGGTCTATGTTCATAGAGAAGTGATGAGTGGAGGTGCTGAGGCAGCGAATGAGGCAGGTAAGGGAAGCATGTGAGAGTGTGAGGGCAAACCCCTCCCAGCTACAGGAAAGGCCACGCCTATGGGCAGGGGAGGGCCCCAGCCATGCACCTTTCCATAAAACACATGGGATCTGAGTTCGTCCTCCTTAGAGATGTTCTGAGCTCCTCAGCCAGGGTCTGCTGGAAACCAGGAAGAGTCTCCTATGGTGGAGAGAACAGACATTACCAGAGGACCTCCAGCCATGATCTCAGGCACAGAAGGGAACTGGGATATCAATGAGACACCAAAGCTGAGACACAAGCACAGAGGCAGAAAGGTGGGCAGCCAGGAGAGGGTCCTTACCACAGGCATGCTGTACGGGCAGTGGGTGGCAGACCAGTGGATACCAGAGATTGCTGAGGATCTTCACCTCCTCCTGTGTGTCAATCAGCATGACCCCACAGTCCATGTACTTCTCCTGCAGGTCTTGCAGCTGGGAACCCACCCACAGGCTCTGCTGGGACCCAGGCCCACCCTGTCCAGCACCTCTGCCTAACCGCTCTCAGGCTGAGGCCAGAGGCCCAGGCTCTGGACTCCAAGTGCCATGTGGGGGACCCAGGGGAGGTCCCTGCATTCCACGTCACTTGAACCTTAAAGGAACTGCCACCTGCTGGGCTGTGCCAGGAACGGAGGGGATGGAAAGGGATAAGACTCAGTCCCTGCTAATCTTCTCCAGAGTCAGGTAGCTGCCAAGGGCCTAGGGTCCGCACTCTGGGCCAGAGGCTCTCCAGGGTGGGGGCAGGAGCTGGAAGGGAGCCTCGCCTCTTCCTGGAGCTGCATCTGGATTTCCTTCTCTGAAGCCAGCTGCTGCTACAACTTCTCAGTCTCAGCCCCATACTGGAAGGACCAAAAACCAGTGAACCCCCATCTGAGGCTTCCCCACTCGGGACACGCCCTGCTTCCAGCAAGTCTCTCCAGGCACATCATTGAGTCCTTGGCAGCCTGTGAAATGAGAAGTCACTCGGAAGGAGGGCAAAGAAGGCAGGGGAGTCACATGGCCTGGTTCCCAGAAGGATCTTCTCCAGGCCTTGGTCCCTCCTCAAACAAGGGGTCAAGATAAGGGCCTCACGGAGGTCTCCTCTAACTCTGACTCTGACACAGAAAAGGACCTTGGGCCTGGTGGAGCCAAGCAGAAGCAGGGAGAAGGAAGCTAGGGTCACACGGGGCCACGATAAGAGGGTTCCACACAGGCCTGACTCACTGTCAGCACCCCTGCTACAGCTTCACCACCTGGGCCTGCAACCGAGCCACCTCCTTCTGCTGCCATTCATAGTTTTCCAGTCTCAGCACCAGCACCTCCGACAGCTCAGCCATCTGCTGGCTGGCCTCCGCTGGGGAGGGCAGAGGACAGGTCCACCCTGGCGCTCCTGGCCTTCAGGGCCCAGCTCTGACCCTCCCAGATGCCTCTGTCTGCCCCACCCTCGGCTGCTGGGCTGTGCCAGCAGGTCCCACAGGGCTTAGCAATCCTCACTCAGGTTTATTCAAGAAATGTTCATTGACTGATACTGAGCAGGGCACCAAGGTAAGTGGTCAACAAGATCCAGCCCCACAATGAGGTCAAGTTGGTGGGGAGACAGACCACAGTCACGCATACAGGGCATGATGGGCAAATGTCAAGGGCGTTTGGGGAAGAGGCACCACAACTACAGCACCCAACCCAGACCTGCAGGGTATAGGAAGGATTCCTGGAAAAAGGAACCACTAAACTAAGACCACAGGGCAAGTGAAGCTCAGCCAGGCAATGAAGGGAAGATGGCCAGGCACAGTGGCTCATGCCTGTAATCCCAACACTTTGGGAGGCCAACACAAGCAGAATATGAGGTCAGGAGTTCAAGACCAGACTCACCAACCTGAAACCCCGTCTCTACCAAAAATACAAAAAATTAGCTGGGCGTGGTGGCGTGCAAACCCAGATACTCAGGAGGCTGAGGCAGGAGAATTGTTTGAACCTGGGAGGCGGAGGTTGCAGGGAGCTGAGATCATGCCACTGCACTCCAGCCTGGGCAATAGAGCAAAACTCCATCTCAAAAAAAAAAAAAAAAACACCAGTAGTCCCAGATACTACTCGGGAGGCGGAGGCAAGAGAATCACTTGAACCCAAGGAGGCAGGGGCTGCAGTGAGCAGAGATTGCACCACTGCACTCCATCTCGAAAGAAATGAGGTCTTGCCTGGCTGCCCAGGCTGGAGTGCCATGGCAATTCACAGGCGCAATCCTATTACTGATCAGCACGGGAGTTTTCACCTGCTCTGCTTCTGACCTGAGCCAGTTCACCCCTCCTTAGGCAACTGGTGCTACTCCACTCCCTGGACCATCCTGACCCCGTCGGCATAGTCTCTACAGCCCAGAACTCTCAGGCTCAAGCAATCCTCCCACCTCAGCCTCCTGAGTAGCTGAGACCACAAGTGGGAGCCACTGTACCTGGCCAGGTTTGGTTTCAGAAAACTCAATGGGGCTGTGTGCAGAAGTTCCTAGTAGGGAGGGAGTAGAGGCAGTGTGAACAGTTGAGAGGTATCCTGGGCTAAAGGCAGCCAGAGCGGGAGGGGAAAAGAGATTTAAGCCATTCCTAGGCAGTAAAAGAAACAGAGCTTGGCGACTGGTTCCTTCTCCAGTAGCCTGGGGACCAGCGGGGCCATTCAGGGAGTTGCAGAGTTGGGGGGGCAGGAAGTTCAGGTCTGGGGTAGAGGGAACAACAGGAGTTCCGCTGTCGCCACTTTGTATCTGCATCTCACCAGCTACACTGAACTCATGCACAAACACTGCCCTCACTCATCTTCATAAACACAGCACCTAGGACGGTGCCAGGTGTAGCCACTGTCCTGTGCATGACTCTGAACTGTCCCAGCCCTGGGTACCTGGTCTCTGGCAGCTCATGGCTCCCTCCTGACTGCCCCAAATAACAGGAGACAGACTTGGAAGAGACCCACCACTTTTTTTATTTGAGATAGAGTCTCGCTCTGTCCCCCAGGCTGGGGTGCAGTGGCATGATCTCAGCTCACTGCAACCTCTGCCTACCGGGTTCATGTGAATCTAGTGTCTCAGCCTCCTGAGTAGCTGGGACTACAGGAACATGCCACCAGCCGGGACTTTCAGTAAAGACGGGGATTTACCATGTTAGCCAGGATGGTCTGAATCTCCTAACTTCTGATCTGCCTGCCTTAGCCTCCCAAAGTGCTGGGATTACAGGTGTGAGCCACCACACCCAGGCTTTTTTTTTTGAGATGGAGTCTTGCTGTGTCAGAGACCCACACCTTCTGTATAGCTCTTTATAGTTTGCACAAAGCACTTCCTCAGCTGTTGACACTTAATCCTCATAAACCCTGGAGAGATCAGTGAGGCTGAGATAATTCATCCCCATTCTAAAGACAAAGATTCAGAGAGGTCAAGGAATGTATCCAAGGTCACACAGCTAGGAGTGCCAGATCTGGGACTTGAACTTGGATCTCCATACTCTGAATCCTGAGGTCTCTTCTCTGCTCCTTGGGACAGCCCCCCACCTCGAGTGACAACATTACATACAAAACTGTTCCATACATTCCAGAATAAGCATCTGTTCCTCATCCTCAAGGGTGTTGAGCTGAGAGGCCTGGAGGGAGGGAGAGAGGAAGGGACAGGGAAGTCAACACCCCCTGCTAGCCGGACACCCTCCTCCATCCTTACCTCTTCTCTCAGCTGATAATTCTCCTCCTCCAGCAGCCTCAGCTTCTCCCGCAGGGCTTCCAGCTGCAGGCAGTGGTGCAGGTGCAGCAATGTCTCCTTTGAAGTCCTGTGGGGGGAGGAATGGGAGTCAGGGTGCAGGGAGTGGGGCTTCCCAGTTCCCAGCCCACCCAGGGCCTCCCCACCAGGGCTAAGGGGAGTGTTCTCAATTCGTTCCAGCAACCCTGCCGCAAGCACATTGCCTGTGTCCCTTCCAACAAATGAGGAGCCGGGCATGGTGGCTCATGCCTATAATCCCACCACTTTGGGAGGCTGAGGTGGGTGGATCATGAGGTCAAGAGATCGAGACCATCCTGGTCAACAAGGTCAAACATCATCTCTACTAAAAATACAAAAATTAGCTGGGCATGGTGGTGCGCGCCTGTAGTCCCAGCTACTTGGGAGGCTGAGGCAGGAGAATTCCTTGAACCCATGAGGCGGAGGTGGCGGTGAGCCGAGATCACACCATTGCACTCCAGCCTGGGTAACAAGAGCAAAACTCCATCTCAAAAAAAAAAAAAAAAAAAAAAAAAACAAATGAGGAAACTGAGGCTCAGAGAAAGGACTCGCAGGTGCAAAGGCAGGAACTCACGGCTTGGGGGCTTCACAGGGATGAGCATGCTGTCTTCCTCTGCTTCCTCTTCTTCCTGTTTCTCATCTTCTGCCTCCTCTTCTTCATCCTCATCCTCATCCTCATCATCAGAATCTGAGTAGAGCTGGAGGAGGTCATCCCGCAAGTTCACCTGGTGTCTGAGGTGTAAAATCTGGCAGGAAAGGAGAGGAGCCATGGGTTGGCAGTGGGCAGGGGCAGGAGAGGGTCCTGGCATGAGGGGGGTGGACTGACCCCTTACCTCCCCACCCAGTTACCTCCACCCTGGCTGAGCCCAACAGGGCTTCCAGCTTGCTGTTCTCCTCCATCAAAACACTGTTCTGTTTCACCAGGGACTGGCTGATGCAGGCTGCAGTATTCAGGTCTCTCTCTCTCTGCAAAAGGACCCTCACTCATAGGTAATACTCTCCCAGCGTCTAGAATCTCCCAGACAGGTGGGAGAAGCTGGGGGATACACAGGGGTCAGAGGGAGGCTAGGCCCCTAAGAGAACCCTCCCCATCCCCTAGTTCTCTAGGGTACTAGACCAGAGTCTGCCATTAATCCACTGTGGAACCTGACTCAGTTTCCCCTCACAGAAAAAGCAGATCAGATCAGATTGGCTCTAAGAGCTCTTCCAGCCTGAACATCCCACACTGGCCTGTCTTCCATAAGAAGGACCCCTAGCTGGGCCCCCAGAGAGACAGCCAAACAGGAAATAAACAAGACCCCCACCCCTACAGGGCAGAACTAGAACGAGGGCCTGCCTGACTTGGAAAGGCAGTACACACCTCCTCCAGCAAATACAATATCACTTTGCTATCTTCCTGGGTGATCTTTTTGGCTGGGGAGGTAGGTTAGGAAACAGTGCGGGTGGGGAAGAAAGGCCCAGGCAGGTCAGGAAAAAGGAGCAGATGCCATCAGCAACTGCGGGTTTCCGGTCCTATCCTCAGGTCTCCTCCAACAAGGGTCATCAGGAAAAAAGACTGGGCTCCCCTCCTGCTCCCAACATCCTCCTCTTACCCCTCAGCACTCAACACTCCCTTCCCTGCTCCCAGGGCCAAGTGGACTGGGGCTCTTTTTTTTTTTTTTTTTTCCTGGAGGAGCCTGGATCAATTAATGGGGTCACAGTTCTCCAGGCTCAGGAACTGGGCTCTCCGGACACCTGGGTCCCTGGCACCTAGGAGAATGGAGACAGCCAAGGGAAGTACAGCCTCAGACTGGCTCATCACTCCCTACCCAGAAGACAGTGCAATGGAGTCTCCTGGGTCATACAAACAGACGCAGCCACTCACGCTGCACCTGGAGATGAAGATTCTCCAGCAACAGATTAGGGTGCATTCGAGCCTCTAGTCCCAATCCAGAAATCTCCCCCGAACCACAGGAGGATAGAAGAAAAGAGAAGGGGCGGGGTGAAGGGCACAACCTTGCCCCCAAACCCGCAACCAAAAGCTGGGCAAAACCCACCCGCCTCTCCATCGCACTTGAGCCCTTTCGGCCAGCGCATGCTCAGAGCTCGCCGGGCAGTGCCCTTCCGCAGCGCCCCGTCCCTCTCCTAGCACTGCAGTAGACCCGGGAGAGGGGCGCTGAGGGGACGCAGATCTGCCGCAGCAACAAGCGCGTGGAGGTGGGTGGGCAAGAGTGCAGGGCCCATGGCCGCTGGAGGTCGCCATGGACACGCGATACCACCAACTGACAGAATTGGGCAACAGTTGATTCAGATTCTCAGCTAATATTCTCAGGTCTGGAGTGGGCCTGAGCGCTTTAATACGAAGCCCCGGGGCCAATGGGTCCTCACCTCTCTTTGTTTATAGAACACTGAAACTTCAGTACAGTTGGTAAGTTCCAGGAAGACGAGAACTCTGCACTACTTTAACTCCAGGGTCCAGAACAGTCTGCAGTCTAGCAGATGCTGTAAAATTTTTAATTAAATACTGAACTCCTGTAGGGCAATGATTGTGTTTTTATTCATTCCTAGCACTTACTATAGTGTTTGGTGATTACAGTGGCTGCATTTGTTTAAAGCTCTTTCACGGGTTTTTTACAGTGTAGAGCTTAACCTGCCTATTCCTTTTCCCAGATCAGGAGAAATAGAAAGTCAGGAAGTTGCACACAGTTAATACCTTGCGTTTTCCCAAGGGCAGGTATGAAATCCAAAACTGCTGCAGAATTAAAGGTATGTATGTGGGAAAGATGGAGAGAGACCCAAACCCCAGATAATAAAAGCAGGATAGATGTGGTCATTAAGATGGAGAAGCCAGACTGGATTCTAAGCAGGGACTAAGAAGGGGAAGCAAAGTGGAAAGTTTTCCCCACTCTCCCTTCCCTACTAAAGCCAGAAGCCAACATCTACCATTAGCCTTTCAAAACTGGGTCCCAGGATCTTGGTCTCCAGGAGGTCATAAAGATACACACAGGGACACCAGAAGCCACCTACAGATTTATTAAACTTTATTTCCTCTGAGTCTCTGGGCAGTCAGCAGGGATGTAAGGCGAAGTGGCAATAGCTGAAGGGGCCTGAGCACAGCTGGTGCCGGGAGGGGCCGACAGGGACAGGAAGAGGAAGAGATTTAAATATCCAGGGCGGAAAGCCAGTTAATGGGTCTCCTTCATCTGTTTTTGTATTTTGTGTAGCATCTCCTGTATCCGCCGGAGCTGGAATAGGTATAGGCATAAAATTGGGCCTTTTTGGAGAGTCCTTTAGTATTGGGGAAGTGCCCCAAATTTCTAATCCCTTAAGCCAGGACCTTGGTAGCCCTGAGGTATGATGGAGACCCTGGACAGAACCACCTATTGACCTATCCAGGACCCAAACAGGCAGCAGAGCCAGGGATCTTTCTATTACCAAACCAAGAAATACCAATGTTGATGATCAAACAGGGGACCTTCCCTATACCCCATACTGCTCTCACCTCCTCATCTTTCTCTCGGATAAGCTTCTCAGTTTCTGGATCTGACCCTGGTGGGACAGCAGGGATGGGGAAGTCGGTACCACTCTCTCGAGTCAGTTTGCTAAGAGGAGAGAAGGGTTGGTAAGGCTAGGAGGACCCCAGTACCCACTTAGATTGGGCCTATAGAAGAACAAAAGAAAGGTTTAGTCTCACCCAAGGCTAGGCTTGGGATCCCCCTGCCACCTTGTCCTGGCTTCTGGTCATACTTGCGATTCCGTTCCTTCACCAGGCGGGTTATGCTCTGGATGCACTGTGCCCGGTAGTTCTCATAATGTGTCTCCCGCGTCACATCCTTCAGGTCCTGCATGTGGGTACGCACCAGCATTGTCCTCAGCTTCACAAAGTCACAGTGCCCTGGGTTTTCCACTGCATAGCAAGGCTAGGGGTCAGCCAGAGGCATAGGTAGGGGAGAGCCACTGAGGGGCAAGGAGATACCCTGGTCACAGGCTCAGTGCTTTACCTTCCACGATGCCCCAGGGGTAGAGTCGACCCCGAACTCGCCGCCCTCTGGCCTCTACTACAGTGTTGCTGCCAATGACTGCAAACGGGATGCTTTCCTGGAAGAGGTTAGGGGTGCCTGTCAACACCCTCTGTTCTCACCTGTTTCTTTCCACCTGTATCGTCATCTTCTCTGCTTCACTCTGGAAAGCCAGGGTCCTTTCCCACCCTGATAGCCTGACTATAGAATTCTACTCCCTTTTTCTACCCAGAAGAAACAAGATGGGAAGGGGATGCCCTAGAGTGGTCCCACCTTTAGGGCTTGATTCTGCAATTTGAAGTCCTCATCCTCATCAGAGTCACAGTCTGGGAATTGATAGATCTTGATTCCAAAGTGCTCAATCTCCTCCCAGATCTGGCAAACAGATGAAGGGCCCACAGTTCTGGGGACCACATCCTTTCTAGAAGCCCACCTGATCCCCTCCCATCACCAGCTTCCCTCACTTTGTGTTTCTTGCAGTCCACTTCCGCCTTAGCCAGGATAGGCACGATGTTGACCCGCTGATGCAGGGCCTTCATGAATTCAACATCCAACGGCCGGAGCCTGGAGAACAGGAATCTGTGACCACCTGCTAGTGGCAGCCCTGCCCCTGGGCTCTTGGCCTGTTCCCTTGACAGCACCCGGTGGTGCCAGGAGCCTCAGGCTTGGACCATACCCGTGGCCGAAGGGTGAGATGAAGTACAGGCAGCAGTGCACCCTGTTGTCTTGGATGTTCTTTCGGTTCAAGCCACTCTCATCTCGGAAATACTGCTCAAACTGCTGATCAATGTATTCTGCCACAGGCTTCCAGCTGGGGCAGGGACAGACAAACAGAGAAACTGTGAGCGTGGGCGCCACCTAGTGAGCTTTGGGACTGCAGAGAAGTAGCCCCTCCCTGAGCAGTGTTTTCAAGACGTTGTTATTCCCTGGCTTGCTTTACCACATCTTCAGGGAAATTCCTGAATGGGATGGTGTATACCTCGTCTTGATACAAAAGCCTGAGTACTCAGGCAGAGTTTAATAAATACTAGTTTGATGACAGGAAAAGGGCCCAGGTGATCAAACAAAAGAGTAAGAATAGGCTGGGTGTGGTGGCTCACGCCTGTAATCTCAGCACTTTGGGAGGCCGAGGAGGGCGGATCACTTGAGGTCAGGAGTTTGAGACCATCCTGGGCAGTAAAATGAGGCTCTGCCAAGTGTCTTGAAAAATAATAATAATCACAGTATTAAAACAAAAAGGGGACTAGGCATGGTGGTAGCTCATGCCTGTAATCTTAGCATTTTGGGAGGCCAAGGTGGGAGGACTGCTTGAGCCCAGAGGTTGAGGCTGCAGTGAGCCATGATTGTGCCACTGCATTCCAGCCTGGTGAGAGAGTTGGACCCTGTCTCAAAAAGCAAAACAAAAAGATTAGCTACCCTTTATTGAGCACTTACTATGTGTCTGGAACTATTCTATGAATTTGTGCTTAATCTATCTAAGAATCCTCAGAGGCAGATATTAGTGTCGTATCTAAGAGGTGAGAAAATTGAGGCAGAAAGGCTAAATAAACTGCCCAAGGTTATACAGCTAACACATCTTAGAGCTGGGATTCACACCCAGGTGGTCGGGCACTACAGAATTTACTTTTTATTCTTTTTGACACAAGTCTCATTCTGTCACCTAGGCTGGAGTACAGTGGCATGATCTCAGCTCACTGCAACTTCCACCCCCCAGGCTCAAGTGATCCTCCCACCTCAGCATCCCTAGTAGCTGGCACTACAGGGGCAAGCCATGCCTAGCTAATGTTTACATTGTTTTGCAGAGACAGGATTTTACCATGTTGCCCAGGCTGGCCTCAAACTCCTGACCTCAGTCAACCCACCCAGGCCTTCCAAAGCACTGGGATTATACCACACCGGGCCCACAATTTACATTCTTTACTAGGTGGGTTATTCTGCAAATACCTGGTAGTATTCAGGTTCTCCTGGAGAATTCTGGTCATTTTGAAACAATTTCACAGCTTTAAGGTATGTTTCCATTGACTCGAGTTTGGCTTTGCTGGAACCAAAAACGAAGATGAACAAAACAACAGCAAAATGCAGTGACAAATTTATTTACTTACTATTTTTTTCAGACTAGGTTTCACTTTGTTGCCCAGGCTGCAGCAGTGCTGCAATCACAACTCACTTCAGCCTTGACCTCCTGAGCTGAAGCCATCCTCCCACGTCAGCTTCCCAAGCAGCTGGGACTACAGGCACACACCGCTGTGCCTGGTTAATCTTTTTTACAAATGTTTTGTACAGATGAGGATCTTGTTTATTTGACTAGGATAGTCTCAAGTGATCCTCCTGCCTTGGCCTCCTAAAGGGCTGGGATTTGGGGTATGAGTCACCACACCCTGCCAATAAATTTATTATTTTTAGAAACAGGGTCTCACTGCTGTCACCAAGGCTGGAGTACAGTGGTGCCATCATAGCTCACTGAAGCTTTGAACTCCTGAGTTCAAGTCATTTTCCCGCCTTAGCCTCCCAAGTAGCTTCGATTGCAAGTGTGTACTGCCACACCTGGCTAGTTTTTGATTTTCTTGTAGAGATGAGGGTCTTGCTATGTCTCAAACTCCTGGGCTCACAAGATTCTCATGTAATCCTCCTGCCCCAACCTCCCAAAGTGCTAGGATCATAGGTATGAGACACTGGGCCTGACTCCAGTAAGGAATTTTGAAATCTTTGGGGGTAAGGGTACTGAATTCCAGTGATGAGCAAGAAACAAATACTATTTACATACTCATTTACATTTCTCTTTCTCCTAACCCTTGAGACTGTACCATGTGAGAAAGCCCAGACTACCCAGAGAAACCACTGGAGGCTGTTTTGCTTGACAGTCTTACCGAAGTCCCCAGCGGACAGCTCATAATTTGCTGTCAGACATGCAAGCAGAACAACCTTCACGATTCCAGGCCCTGCCTTTCAAATCTTGCAGCTGAGGCCCAAGACATGAAACAGAGATGAGCTGTCCCCACTGTGTCCTGTCTGAATTACTGACCCACTGAAACCATGAGCTAATAATTATTGCTCGTGCAAGCCACTAACTTTTAGGATAATTTGTTACACAGGATCACTAAAACCTCAACTCAAGATTAACATGCAAGAAATGAGGCAGTCCTAGTCATTTCTACTTTGAATGTTCTACCAACTCAAATGCAGAAGTTTTGCATGTTTGGGGGCTCATTCATCAATTGTGCTGTTTGATTCACTAACATAATAATCTGCCCCCACACTGAAGAATACTAGAATATATCCTCCAAATACATATCGAAACTTAGAAATGAGCAACTCAACAATGATCACTCCACTAGAGATTAAAAAGATCTTACTTTTTAAATAGCAGCGTTATGAAATATCAACATATCCTGTTTTGTAGGTACCTTCTATTTCAATCTAAGCAGTCAACAGATGAGTAGTAAAAATTCCTAGTTAATCAGGTTACAAAAATATTTAGAACCTGTGGTCCTATGCTGTTTTTTGCAAAATTTTGTTCTTCTGCTTCTTTAGATAGATAGAAGACTGATTCCCAATCCCCTTTGTCTGACAGCTCCTCTACTCTTGGTTGTAGAAGGGAACTGCTGTGAATATGTTTAAGGCTGACTTCCATTAAACTGCAACCTCTGACCCCTACGTGGAGGTGGAGTTAGCCATCATTATGGGGAAACAGTCAAGTTAGGATAAATGGTTTGAATAATTCCTTTAAATTGCTTTCAATGGGTCACAGAGAGCTAGGGTTTGAGGACACAACACTCTTTAAAGACATCTGATGTTTACTTGACAGTTGTTTCAACAAAATATAATAATTTTGTGAATACTAAATAACATGTATAAGGTAGTAATTTATAAAGTATTATCAAACACATTGGAAATGTAACACATTTATTCTAATGATCTTTTATCTTCTTACCTGTATGTTCTAAATGTTTTAATGTCACATTGTCAACAGGGAAAAAGCTGAGGATAGCACTATATTCCAGACACATGCTTGATACTGTAGTTCAATTAGCTATAGATAATTGTGAAACTCCACTTCCAAAACACTCAACAAACTTCCCAGCCACTCCAACTTGCCTGAGGTGCTATATAAGGGATACACAGAAATATACACAAATTAGCAAAGATTATCTGAAAACTATAAAATACAATTTCTAACCAGTACTAGCAATGGTGAAGGAATGCAATCCTTCATTGTTCTTATGAAATATCAACTCATTCTGGTTTTGTGGGTATTTAAGATAAGGAGTCAACAGAAGAATTGTTCAATGTCACTGTTAATCAGGGTAGAAAAGGCCTGAAAACTCAAGGTGGCTACGATTAACATTTTCATGTCTTTGAAATCAGGGAAAAATCAGCTCAGTGGTGTGTCTGTTTAGCTGGAACCCCCTTTTCTTTCTTTTAGAAACAGGGTCTCACTCTGTTGCCCAGGCTGGAGTGCTGTGATGTGATCACAGCTCACTACAGCTTCTAACACCTCAGCTCTAGCAATCCTCCAACCTCAGCCTCCTTGTAGCTGAAACTACAGGCATATGCCACCACACCCAGCTAATGTTTAAATTTTTTTTTGTAGAGACAGGGTCTTATAATGTTGACCAGGCTGGTCTTGAACTTCTGGCCTCATTGATGTTCCTGCCTTGGCCTCCCAAACTGCTGGGATTACAGGTGTGAGCCACTGTGTGCAGCCTCTTATTCTTTCTTAGCAGTGCATAAAACAGTTGTGTGTTTGCTAATCACTGATTGCATTGTAGACTTAATGAAACACTAGTAGACAGATGAAGCTGTATATTCAATTAAAAAATTATATACTGGCCATAAAAATTTTCAAATTATAGCTACTGGCCAAAATGTTTACAGCATCTTAATTACATGCAAATTCCATTTTGGTAGAATTTGTTAACATGTAGTTTCAAACTTAATTCCTTCTAAAATTATTTTTCTTGGTTATTATACTATCAAGTAACCCAACCAGCTACTGCCTTTTCTAAATCATAAAATGGTCTCAGACTGGTACAGGGAGAGTGAGTAAGGAGGTGACTAAGAGTGAACTATCCTCAATCTATGAATAATATTAAGCCCAAACTTTTTTTTTTATAGTTATAGAAACTCAAACTTTAAAACGTAAAGATGTTTCCTTACATTTATGGTTATATTTTTTAGGATGAAAGAAATGCAGATTAGCTATTACAAACCAAATGCTGCTTTCATAAAAAAAGTACACGATTACTCTTATAAGGATCACAAATAGAAAAGGATCTCAAAAAAGTAAAATATTCAATAAATGTAAACATACATAATAGACTAACTTTTTTAACAATAAACTGTCAAAAACACATAGTAATAGTGTTAGGAAAAAACAGCCGGTGAAAGCCAAAAAGCAGCATGAATTTTCAGGATGCCTAAAGTAAAGAACTGATTACTCTAAGAACATAATGGGGTATTTCTTTTCCTTTAGGAATAATCCTGCAATTCCCAATTTATTTCTTGATCTTTTGGTGCCATATACTGAATCAATAATTTCTCTAAGATGCTAAATTCTTTTCTAATTAGGGAAAAAGGATCAATACTAAATGCTGAAAGGGAGGCATGATCATTTCCTTACCTTGTGGAGTATCCTGAAAGCCTTCATATTAATAATCTAACCAAAAATGTTGAGATTGGGATCTGAATTGGGATTATATGTGGAACATTTTCCAGGTACATTCATTTAACAAAATAGAACTTAATCACTAAAGTTGGTAAAAGCCACACATTCAGGAAGAAGAGTTACAAATTATTGTTCACTAGGAAACCCATGAGCCTATGTATTAATATGCTTAAGAAGCTCGGTGTATGTATTAAAGGTCTGCAGCCAGAATTTTAAAAATTATTAGAAAAGGTTTTTACATAATCCAGAGAAATGTTAAAACAGCAACAGAAAAATCTGATATATCACATTTCTACAGTCCACGTTTTTGAAAGCATTACTTAGTAGGGCAACAGTTTCTAATGGGCAAATAATTCAATTAAAGAAGATACAATCAACTTTTGTTAAACATTTTTTTAAATTCATGTAGAAAAAATTTAAAAATCATGTAGTCAAAAGTATTTACTGAGGCAAAAAGGCACTAATAAGGTATAATAGTTAAGAGAATGAGCTCAATAATCTGACTGCCTGGGTTAGAATCTTTGTACTACTCAGCCCTCTGACCCTTTATTAAGTCACTAAATTTTACTGTACCTTAGTTTTCTCAGAGTTAAAATGAGGATAGTAATAGTACCCATCTCACAGTCTTGTTGTGAGGACTAAATGAGCTCAAAAAGAAGAGAACACAGAGAGAACGATCCAAGATGGCCGATCGCTAACATCCCGGGATTGCAGCTCTCAGGGAAGGCGTGGAGAACTAGAGGACGCCACACTTTCAGACAAAGTCTGGTCGCTCACGGAGCAGAAGATCCCCCAGTGGTGGAAACACACGAGTCGCCAGCGCGACTCTCGTGGTCGGCGCAGCGGTTCCGCCGGCATCTCGGCGCGGCAGCGCTCGGTGCAGAGTAAACAGGACCGGTTCCCCTTCTGACCGAGGTTTGGAGCCCGGGGAAGGCAGAGTCGCCTACTACAGAAACAAGAAGGAAGCCCGACAGGAGAATCCTGGGCAGAAAAGCACCATCAGTCTTAACGCCGCTGCTCTGGCCCTGGGAACTAACAACCTGGACGTCCACTCAAGAGACCTAATCTGAAAGTTGGTAACCTCAAAGACGACAGGAGGATAAATTTACAATGACGGGAAGAAACCAGCGTAAAAAAGCTGAGAATACTCAAAGTCAGAACGCCTCTCCCTCTAAAGATGATCACAGTTCCACATCAACAATGGAACAAGGCTTGATGGAGAACGAGCGCCTCCTGATGACAGAATCACTCTTCAAGGAATGGATAATAACAAACTTCGGTGAGTTAAAAGAACATGTTGTAGCCCAACGTAAAGAAACTAAGAACTTTGAAAAAAGGTTTGATGAAATCCTATTGAGAATAGACAACTTAGAGAGGAGTATGAGTGAATTAATGGAACTGAAGAATACAATACAGGACCTCCGAGAAGTATGCACAGGTTTAAACACTCGAATTGTTCAAGCAGAAGAAGGGATATCAGAGGTCAAAGTCCAACTTAATGAAATAAAACGTGAAGAAAAGATTAGAGAAAAAAGGATAAAAAGGAATGAGCAAAGTCTCCAAGAAATGTGGGACTATGTGAAAAGACCTAATTTACGTTTGATAGGTGTACCTGAATGCGACGGAGAGAATGAATCCAAGCTGGAAAATACCCTTCAGGATATTATTCAGGAAAATTTTCCTAAACTAGCAAAGCAGGTCAACATTCAACCCCAGGTAATACAGAGAACACCACAAAGATATTCCTCAAGAAGAGCAACCCCAAGGCACATAATCGTTAGATTCACCAGGGTTGAAACGAAGGAGAGGATACTAAGGGCAGCCAGAGAGAAAGGTCGGATAACCCACAAAGGCAAGCCTATCAGACTTACAGCAGATCTCTCGGCAGAAACTCTACAGGCCAGAAGAGAGTGGGGGCCAATATTCAACATCCTCAAAGAGCAGAACCTCCAGCCCAGAATTTCATATCCAGCCAAACTAAGCTTCACAACTGAAGGAAAAATAAAATCTTTTATGAACAAGCAAGAACTCAGAGATTTTATTACCACCAGGCCTGCTTTACAAGAGCTTCTGAAAGAAGCATTACACACAGAAAGAAACAACCAGTATTAGCCTTTCTAAAAATACACCAAAAAGTAAAGAGCACCAACATAAAGAAGAATTTACACCAACAAATGGATAAAACAGTCAGTCAACATCAAATGGCAGTAACCCTAAATTTAAATTGACTAAATTCCCAATCAAAAGACACAGCCAAAACCCAATGGCATTTTACATCCAGACCTGTTTCACATGCAAGGATACACAAAGACTCAAAACAAAGGGATGGAGAAAGATTTACCAACCAAATGGAGAGCAAAAATAAATAATAAATAAATAAAAAGCAGGAGTTGCAATTCTTGTATTGGATAAAATAGATTTTAAAGCAACAAAGATTTAGTGGTAAAAGGATCAATGCAACAACAAGAGCTAACGATCCTAACACCCAGATACGAGACTTAGATTCAATGAGACAGAAAATTAATAAGGATATCAAGGACTCGAACTCAGATCCAGAACAAGTAAACTTAATAAATATTTATAGAGCTCTCCACTTCAAATACACAAAATATACATTCTTGTCAATACCACATCACACCTACCCATAAGTTTAAATGAAACATTGATTGGCCATTATTAATACCCAATTTTTTTCAAAATAAAGCAATATTTCCATTTACTCTCCCTCTTTCTCTTCCTCTCCTTTACTTATTATTTTTTTTTTCTTTCCTTTTCTCAAAAAAAAAGAAATCAACTTGTAAACCTCTAGATCCAGGTCGGCAATGTCTCTTTCATTGCTTGATTTCCTTTCTTCCCTTCCTTCCCTCCCTCCCTCCCTCCCCGCTTCCTCCCTTCCTTCCTTCCTTCATCCCTTCCTTCCTCCCTACCATCCTTCTTCCCTTCCTTCCTGCCTCCCCCCCAAAAAAAAAAAAAAAAAAAAAAAAAAGAGAACACAACAGATTTCTTTGATTTATTAGTACAAAGTAAATGCTATGTTTGTTGTCATTACTATGATAACTAGTATGATGTGGCTAATGTCAGAGACCTGAGGATGAAGTAATGAACCCAAATCCCTGCTCTCATAGGGCAAATGGTAGTGCTGTGCTAGGCATTATGTAAATTTCTTTTCATAAATCATCTTTTACAACAGTATCACAAACTCTTGATTAAGATTTTGTTGTTCCTATTGCTACTACAGATGAAAAAAAACAGAGCCTTAAAGAGGCTATAGAAACCCAATAATATGGAGAGGGGAGAAGATGGCGCTGTAGGACCAACTCAGGATTGCAGCTCCCAGTGAAAGCACAGAGGGTGAGTGGATGCCGCATTTCCAGATGGATCTTTATTACCTACAGACCAGGAGATTCCCAGGTGTAGGAGCCCCATGGGCCACCAGCG